AGATTTCCATGCTTCTGGGATGAGTCTTTTGACTCTGTTTCGCTGCAATACCTAAGAGGGACAGCAAATTTGATAAGGATTCTCAAATCATTGTTTGCTGTTACACTGTACCTGCTAGTTTTATTTATTTATATATTTTTAAAATTTATTTTATTTAATTTCTTCAAACATTCTCCTGTCCAAACCCACTGGTTTTAATAGTTACTTGGTTTTGCCCTTCCTCCACATTGAGTATCTTTTCGGTAACTACAGGTCTCAGAGGTACTTTTTGTTGCCCTGGTTTAATTTTTTTTGGAGAGGAGTAGCTTTGAAGCTACTGGCCCAGCTGAGACAGACCCATATCTGAGCTTGGTTAAGCTTTAAGGCCAAACAGAGCACTCTATTTTACTTTCATTTTAGCTATTACAGATAAATAACCAAGAGATGGGATATTTTGCTTCTTTAAAAATTAATTTGCTTTTCCTTATTAGTTTGCATTTCCTTGTGTATCCAGTAAACCAAGTCACTGGGAGTATGGTCTGTCTCTAAATTCTACTGGTAACTTCTACCTTTAGTAAGTAAATGCAGTCCAGCTGAAGCTTTATATTGTAGGTGACCATATGATCACCCAGGAGTCAAAGGTTTTTCATTTCTTATCCTTTCATTTTTCTCTTTATCCATTTAGTTTTAGTTATATAATTTTTTCTTTTATTTTAAAGTGACCCTCAAATAGTCTCTAAAGTAGAAAAAATTACATTTTCTTTAGCAAATACCAGATTATCATGTTTTCATAACCTTACTAAAAACACATCTTACTTTCCTACTATGGTAGGAGGCAGGATTTGACTTCAGAGATGGGGATCAGACACTAGATCAACTTGAGGACTAGCTAAAATGGGGACAGGATAGAAGGAGCTTTCCATAATACACGCCCACCAATATGCCATGTCAGTTTACCATATTCATGGCAATACCCAGAGTTACTGCCCCTTTCCATGGCAATGATTTGATGATCCAAAAGTTCTCACTCATCCTAGAAATTTCTGCATAAACCACTCCTTAATTTACATGTAATTAAAAGTAGGTATAAGGCCGGGCGCGGTGGCTCAAGCCTGTAATCCCAGCACTTTGGGAGGCAAAGGCGGGTGGATCACGAGGTCAAGAGATCGAGACCATCCTGGTCAACATGGTGAAACCCCGTCTCTACTAAAAATACAAAAAATTAGCTGGGCATGGTGGTGCGTGCCTGTAATCCCAGCTACTCAGGAGGCTGAGGCAGGAGAATTGCCTGAACCCAGGAGGCGGAGGTTGCGGTGAGCCGAGATCGTGCCATTGCACTCCAGCCTGGGTAACAACAGCGAAACTCCGTCTCAAAAAAAAAAAAAAAAAAAAAAGTAGGTATAAATATTCCTGCAAAACTCCCCTGTGCTGCTACTCAGCCTACATCCTATGGGGTAGCCCTGCTCTGCAGGTGCAGTCACAGAGCTGTAACATTGCTAGAGTTGTCCAACTGCTGCTTCAATAAAGCTGTTTTCTTTAATCTTCCCCAACTGTCCCTTGAATTCTTTCCTGGGTGAAGTCAAGAACCCTTGTGGGCTCAGCCCCAATTTAGCATTCACCTGCCCTGCAGCACTATTGTTCTGACTCTTAGTAATCAAAATTTTTACTGGAAAACCTAGAAACATTTAATTTAATATGACATGACTTTAATATTTTAAACTACTGGATAGAATTTTGAGATTAAATTTACCAAATTAATCTTACTAAAGATTTAAATCTGACAAGTACTTACTATTCTTTAGGCCAATTGATTAGAGCTCTTTCTTATAATTGGTAGTAGCATATCATTTCTACATGATGCATATATACACATAGACATAACAAACACAGACAGAGGTAGGTCCTATAAGATTTTCCATTTGCCTGTTTTAAAACATTCTTTTCCTTATTTTAGACTATTTGTTTTTTAAAAAAAAAAAAAAAAAGGTTACAAGAGTTAACAAAAGCTGAAGGAAACAGTTACCATCCCAAGCCCTCTGTAAAAAAAAGGGAGAAAGAGCTCAAGCATTTGGGTACATCAGAAGAACTTCTGAGATATCAGTCTGAAAAATTTCAAAAAGGAAGAGATTATTGAATTTAAAAATGAGAAAGTTCTTGCAAGTTCATTAAGAGTAAATTAATATTATAAGAAAGTGCTGTTCTAACCAAATTTTTAGTTTCCTATTAGTGCACTTTTCATTTCAAAGTCCAATTTCTAGAAGGATTGTTATGATTTTTTTTTTAATTCTTTTTATTGCATTTTAGGTTTTGGAGTACGTGTGAAGAATGTGCAAGATTGTTGCATAGGTACACACATGGCAGTGTGATTTGCTTCTTTCCTCCCTATCACCTATATCTGGCATTTCTCTCCATGTTATCTCTCCCCAATTGCCCACCCCGCACTGTCCCTCCCCTATTTCCCCCTGACAGACCCAGTGTGTGATGCTCCCCTCCCTGCATCCATGTGTTCTCATTGTTCAACACCCGCCTATGAGTGAGAACATGCAGTGTTTGATTTTCTGTTCTTGTGTCAGTTTGCTGAGAATGATGGTTTCCAGGTTCATCCTTGTCCTTACAAAGGACATGAACTCGTTGTTTTTGATGGCTGCATAATATTCCATGGTGTATATGTGCCACATTTTCCCTGTCCAGTCTATCATCGATGGGCATTTGGGTTGGTTCCAGGTCTTTGCTATTGTAAACAGTGCTGCAATGAACATTCGTGTGCATGTGTCCTTATAGTAGAACGATTTATAATCCTTTGGCTATATACCCAGTAATGGGATTGCTGGGTCAAATGGAATTTCTATTTCTAGGTCCTTGAGGAATCACCACACTATCTTCCACAATGATTGAACTAATTTACACTCCCACCAACAGTGTAAAAGTGTTCCTATTTCTCCACACCCTCTCCAGCATGTGTTGTCTCCAGATTTTTTAATGATCACCATTCTAACTGGCATGAGATAGTATCTCAATTTAGTTTTGATTTGCATTTCTCTAATGATCAGTGATGATGAGTATTTTTTCATTGTGTTTGTTGGCCTCATGTATGTCTTCTTTTGTAAAGTTTCTATTCATATCCTTCGTCCACTTTTGAATGGGCTTGTTTGTTTTTTCCTATGAATCTGTTTTAGTTCTTTGTAGATTCTGGATATCAGCCCTTTGTCAGATGGGTAGATTGCAAAAATTTTTTCCCATTCTGTTGGTTGCCGATTCACTCTAATGACTCTTTTGCTGTGCAGTAGCTGTGGAGTTTGATTAGGTTCCATTTGTCTATTTTGGCTTTTGTTGCCAATGCTTTTGGTGTTTTGGTCATGAAGTCCTTGCCTACGCCTATGTCCTGAATGGTTTTGCCTATATTTTCTTCTAGGGTTTTTATGGTGTTAGGTCTTATGTTTAAGTCTTTAATCCATCTGGAGTTAATTTTAGTGTAAGGTGTCAGGAAGGGGTCCAGTTTCTGCTTTCTGCACATGGCTAGCCAGTTTTCCCAACACCGTTTATGGGAATGGGGAATCCTTTCCCCATTGCTTGTTTTTGTCAGGTTTGTCAAAGATTGGATGGTTGTAGATGTGTTATGTTGCCTCCGAGACCTCTGTTCTGTTCCATTGGTCTATATCTCTGTTTTGGTACCAGTACCATGCTGTTTTGATTACTGTAGGCTTGTAGTATAGTTTGAAGTCCGGTAGTGTGATGCCTCCCACTTTATTCTTTTTGCTTAGAATTGACTTGGCTATGTGGGCTCTCTTTTGGTTCCATATGAAGTTTAAGGTGTTTTTTTCCAGTTCTGTGAAGAAGGTCATTGGTAGCTTGATGGGGATAGCGTTGAATCTGTAAATTACTTTGAGCAGTATGGCCATTTTCATGATATTAATTCTTCCTAACCATGAGCATGGAATGTTTCTCCATCTGTTTGTGTCCTCTTTTATTTCATTGAGCAGTGGTTTGTAGTTCTCCTTGAAGAGGTCCTTTACATTCCTTGTTAGTTGTATTTCTAGGTATTTTATTCTCTTGGTAGCAATTGTGAATGGAAGTTCGTTCTTGATTTGGCTCTCTTTAAGTCTGTTGTTGGTTTATAGGAATGCTTGTGATTTCTGCACATTGATTTTGTATCCTGAGACTTTGCTGAACTTGCTTATCAGCTTCAGGAGATTTTGGGCTGAGACGATGGGGTCTTCTAGATGTACAATCATATCGTCTGCAAATAGAGACAATTTGACTTCCTCCTTTCCTATTTGAATACCCTTTATTTCTTTTTCTTGCCTGATTGCTCTGGCTAGAACTTCCAATACTATATTGAATAGGAGTGGTGAGAGAGGGCATCCTTGTCTAGTGACAAATTTCAAAGGGAATGCTTCCAGTTTTTGCCCATTTCAGTATGATATTGGCTGTTGGTTTGTCACAAATAGCTTTTGTTATTTAGAGATATATTCCATCAATAACTAGTTTATTGAGGGTTTTCAGCATAAAGAGCTGTTAAATTTTGTCAAAGGCCTTCTCTGCATCAATTGAGATAATCATGTGGTTTTTGTCTTTGGTTTTGTTTATGTGATGAATTACATTTATAGACTTGTGTATGTTGAACCAGCCTTGCATCCCCAGGATGAAGCCTACTTGATCATGGTGGATAAGCTTTTTGATGTGCTGTTGCAGTCGGTTTGCCAGTATTTTATTGAAGATTTTTGCATCTATGTTCATCATGGATATTGGCCTGAAGTTTTCTTTTCTTGGTGAGTCTCTGCTGAGTTTTGGTATCAGGATTATGTTGGTCTTATGAAATGATTTGGGAGGCATTCCCTCTTTTTGAATTCTTTGGAATAGTTTCAGAAGGAATGGTACCAGCTCCTTTTTGTATGTCTGGTAGAATTTGGCTGTGAACGCATATGGACCTGGGCTTTTTTTGGTTGGTAGGCTCTTAATTGCTGCCTCAACTTCTGCCCTTGTTATTGGTCTATTGAGGATTTCGACTTATTCCTGGTTTAGGCTTGGGAGGATGCAAGTGTCCAGGAATTTATCCATTTTTTCCAGGTTTACTAGTTTATGTGCAAAGAGTTGTTTGTAATAATCTCTGATGATGGTTTGAATATCTGTGGAATCTGTGGTGATATCTCCCCTTTATCGTTTTTTACTGCATCTATTTGATTATTTTCTTTTCTTTTTTATTAGTCTGGCTAGTGGTCTATTTTGTTGATGTTTTCGAAAAACCAGCTCCTGGATTTATTGATTTTTTGAAGAGTTTTTTGTGTCTCTATCTCCTTCACTTCTGCTCTGATCTTAGTTATTTCTTGTATTCTGCTAGGTTTTGAGGTTTTTTTTGATCTTGCTCCTCTAGCTCTTTCAATTTTGATGATAGGGTGTTGATTTTAGACCTTTCCTTGCTTCTCATGTGGGCATTTACTGCTATATATTTCCTCTAGACACTGCTTTAAATGTGTCCCAGAGATTTTGATATGTTGTGTCATCGTTCTCATCGATTTCGAAGAACATCTTTATTTCTGCCTTCATTTCATTGTTTATCCAGTCAACATTCAAGTGCCAGTTGTTTAGTTTCCATGAAGCTGTGTGGTTCTCAGTTAGTTTCTGAATTCTGAGTTCTAACTTGATTGCATTGTGGTCTGAGAGACGGTTTGTTATGATTTTCGTTCTTTTGCATTTGCTGAAGAGTGATTTCCAGTTATGTGGTCAATTTTAGAGTAGGTGTGATGTGGTGTTGAGAAGAATGTATATTCTGTGGATTTGGGGTGGAGAGTTCTGTAAATGTCTATTAGTTTTGCTTGGTCCAGGTCTGAGTTCAAGTCTTGGATATCCTTGTTAATTTTCTGTCTCGTTATTCTGTCTAATATTGACAATGGGGTGTTAAAGTCTCCCACTATTATTGTGTGGGAGTCTAAGTCTCTTAATAAGTCATTAAGACTTGCTTTATGTATCTGGGTGCTCCTGTATTGGGTGCATATGTATTTAGGATCGTTAGCTCTTCTTGTTGCATTGATCCTTTTACCATTATGTAATGTCCTTTCTTGTCTCTTTTGATCTTTGTTGGTTTAAAGTCTATTTTATCAGAGATGAGAATTGCAACTCCTGCTTTTTTTTTGCTCTCCATTTGCTTGGTAAATCTTCCTCCATCCCTTTATTTTGAGCCTTTGTGTATCCTTGCATGTGAGATGGGTGTCCTGGATACAGCACACCAATGGGTTTTGTCTTTTTATCCAATTTGCCAGTCTGTGTCTTTTGATTGGGGCATTTAGCCCATTTACATTTAGGGTTAATATTGTTATGTGTGAATTTGATCCTGCCATTTTGATGCTATCTGGCTGTTTTGCCTGTTAGTTGATGCAGTTTCTTCATTGTGTCGATGCTCTTTACCATTTGATATGTTTTTGGAGTGTCTCGTACTGGTTGTTCCTTTCTATGTTTAGTGCCTCTTTCAGGAGCTCTTGTAAAGCAGGCCTGGTGGTGATGAAATGAAATCTCTGAGTAATTTCTTTTTCATAAAGAATTTTGTTTTTCCTTCACTTATGAAGCTGAGTTCGGCTGGTTATGAAATTCTGGGTTGAAAGTTCTTTTCTTTAAGGATGTTGAATATTGGCCCCCACTCTCATCTGGCTTGTAGGGTTTCTGCTGAGAGATCTGCTGTGAGTCTTATGGGCTTCCCTTTGTAATGGCGGGCTGCCTCGGCAATGGTGGGCTGCCTCAGCAATGGTGGACTACCTCCATAGTGGCGGAGTGTCTCGGTAATGGCAGATGCCCCTCCCCCACAGAGCTGGATGGTACTGGGTTCAGCTGTGCTTGCTGTGAAACTCTCAATCCAGAGCATTTCAGATTGCTGTTTTTTTGTGGGGTGGGACCAGCTGAGCCTGATCACCTGGCTCCCTGCCTCAGACCCCCTTTTTTTTTTCAGTCGAATGAGCGACTGTCTCCCAGGTGTTCCAGTCGCCTGTTGAAAAGGCACTGGGATCTGTGTGATTTCCCATGCGGTGACCCACTGCGCCGGCTGAAACAGCTGCGCTGAGATTCGTGGTGCTTTTTTGCCTGGGAATCTCTTGGCCTGGCTCCTTGTTTCAGTCCCTTTTTTTATCAGTTGAATTGGCAACTGTCTCCCAGGAGCTCCAATTGCCAGCTAAAATGGCGCCTGGACCTGTGTATTTTGTGTGGAGACTCACCATGTTTGCCAAAACAGCTGTGCTGGTGACCCATGGGGCTCCTCCGCCTGGGAATCTCCTTGTCTGTGGGCAATAAAAATCCATGTGGAAATACGGTGTCCACTCACCCTCTGCGCTTTCGCTGGGAGCTGCAATCCTGAGCTGCTCCTAATCGGCCATCTTGGATCCGTCTCAACTTATAATTTTTTTAACATCACGATAGGTTTATCAGAATGTCGCCCCATCCTATGTTGTGGAGTACATATATGTGTATATTAGTTCTGTTTTTCTGGAGAACCCTAACAAGTACAGACTGAGAGAGGGGCTTTGTCAACGTCTAGAAGCCAAAGCAAACAAATTGATGGAGTGAGTATAGAAATTGAAGGCACAGGTGTTGTATGCAGCTTGGCCTGTGTTAGAATCTGTCATTTAATCTAAATCTTACTTTCTTCTTTTGTAAAATGGGAAATATACTAGTGCCTGAACCAAAGGGTAATTGTAAACCTTAAGTAGAATCAATATGTGTGTTTGGTTGGCATGGTGCCTAACTCTTGGCAAGTGCTTGATGAGCAATCAATATTATTAATACTATTGTTGTTATTATTACTAAGTATTCTTAAGAAGAAGAGTCATGGGCTCTCAGAGAACCTTTACTTTATCTCCTATTTACTTAAAAGTGCTAAGAACGTTCATCTTCCATCTCTGGGTTGTAGGTGAAGTCCTCATAGTACTCAGTTCTCTCCATCTCCTGGACCATAGATCTGGTGTCCCAGAAGCCCCAGAAATTGAGGTGCTGGTTGTTCTTTCAATAGCACCACCTACCCAGTCTGTCTCCATGGATTCCCCAACTCACAACCTGTTGGAAGCGTACACTTACCTCATCCCTGCCTTTCTTTGTTTCCCCCAAAGACTACTGTCAGGATCTTGGTTTTAAAATTATTTTATTATTTGATTCTAGGAAGAGTAAATAGCATAAAAACATGAGCTATGGGTAACTGATAACTTTGAAGGTACTTGCATTGTTCTCACAGTTATCATCTGAGGTCTGTAGATGCCACACAGAGGTGAAACAATGTGGTATTTATAATGTGTCTGGGTTAGTGCCTGGCACATGGCAAATGCTTAATAAATGGTGGTTCCTCTCTGATCCTGACAGTCCCAAGGTTTGGGATGACTTGGGGATGATTCTAATGTCCCAACCCTACACACAAGCCTTGTCTATCTGTGGGAGTATTTATAAGTTTCCTTCCTTTCTTCCCTCTCTCCCATTCTTCCTGTCTTCTATTATTTTTCTTTATCAGTTTCTCTTACTACTTTTGTTTTTTTCAAATTTTTCCTCTTCTTTTCTCCCTATCTCCCTCTTTCTTATGTTCTTTTATTCTTTTATTTATTATGTTCTTTTATTCTTTTATTTCCTTCTTACATTCTTTTATTCTTTCTTTCTCTCTTTCTTCCTTTCTTCTCTTTATTTTTCTGATTCTCCCTCCAATTCTCTTTCTTCTGTCTTTTCTCCCCCACCCCCACCGTCATCTCATCTTTCCTTTATTCCTCCTTCCTTTGTTTCCTCTCTCCTACCCTCCCTACTTTCTTTTTTCAGTTGCTTTCCTTTGCCCTTTTAATATTTCCTTGGCTTATTTTTCTTTCCTCTTTTTCTGTTACACTCTCCTTTTCACTCTCATTCCTTTTCTTTCTTCTTTCAGCAACTAACATGGTAATGTTTTGTGCTAATAACCAAGGAAAGACAAAAATTACCTTCATGTTCTTTCATAAAGAATCTCATATCATCACAGGAAGGCCAAGGGCCCAAAGGGAAAAGAAAGAAAAAGAATAGGGGAATCCAAATGAGTGCCTCTTAGACATCTCTCTGGGCACAGGTTTGTCCGGACTTCTTCCACTCCTTGTCTCGAAGCTTGGCTCGTTGAATTTTCCCTGTGATATTCTTGGGTAGGCTCAAGACAAATTCTATCTGTTGAAAGAGAATCGGTCCAGGGTGGGTCATCTGTGACCATCTGGGCTACATAAGAATCTAAGGGACTCTAAGCTCACCATGGTTGCTATCACCTACTACTCTAGACTTAATTTTTTTTCTTTTCCTGGGACAAGCTCCTATCTGGGACCCAAATTCAATAACTGGGTTCTCCTGCCATGTCAACCTCCATGCCTCAGTTCTCTGCCCCAGAATGAAAATGGCTGAAAACTATGCTTTTGTCTTTTCTCATAAAAACACTTTATTTTTCCTATGGGGAGCCACCCTCTCTCCCAGTCCATGTCATGGGGTAGGGCAGTTCTCTCTCCCCCATCCCCACTCACTTTCTCTGAGGATGACATGGAACTGACCAATCAGTGTGGCATTGCCCTGACTACAAGGATTCATTTAATAATGGGCATATGGCCTAAGCTGGTCCAGTGAGAGTCAACCCAGAGACTTTTGTTGAGGGCTTTGGAAAAAACATGTTCATTTTCTACTGGAGTTTTCTAAGCTGATAAGAATATATGTTTGGAGCTGATGGGGCCACAAAGAAAAAGCATTTCAGTAAATCAAGCCACTACAAAGGAAGGAGAGTCAAAGGGCAAAAGAGATAGATACACCTGACCACATCTTAGGAATGCCTGCAACCAGCCATGATGAAAGCTTTCCCCACCCGCAGACTTTTCAACTGTGAGCAATAAATCTCAAGTTAAATTTCTGTCACCTGCAACTGAGCATTGCATAACCCTGAATGCTATAGCAAGAACCCAGTACAGAGAATGGGAATACAGGCAAGATATTGGCTAGAATTTATTCCCTTGAAAGCATTTGGCATTTAATTCATAGTGAGTCAAAAACAGGTCATTTTTCAGGCATCAAGATGGTTGCTAGATTGTCTTTTGGAGCTTTCTTGATCATAGTCAGGAAGACTTTTTTTTTTTTGAGACACTGAGTCTTACTCTGTTACCAAGGCTAGAGTGCAGGGGCATGATCTCAGCTCACTGTAACCTCCACCTCCAGGGTTCAAGCAATTCTTGTGCTTCAGCCTCCTGAGTAGCTGGGATTACAGGCATGCACCACTATGCCTGGCTAATTTTTGTATTTTTAGTAGAGACGGGGTTTCATCATGTTGGCCAGGTTGGTTTAGAACTCCTGACCCCAGGTGATCCACACCTTGGCCTCTCAAAGTGATGAGATTACAGGTGTGAGCCACTGTGTCTGACCCAAGAAGATTCTTTTTTCTTTTCTTTTTTTCTTTTTTGGGACAGAGTCTCACTCTGTCACCCAGCTTGGAGTACAGTGGCTTGATCTCGGCTCACTATAACCTCCGCCTCCAGGAAGACTTTTTAAAATTAGAGGGATGTACTCCTCTTGAGGAAGATAACTATAACAGGAAAACAGTTTTTTTCTCAAGTTTGAGTGACTTGGGAGCTCAAAGGCCTTACCTTTCTTGGATACTTGTATGGGGCTGTCACTGACTTCACATGCTGCTGCAGCTCCTTGGTGAGCTGCTCTGGGTCATGGGACAGGAACTGGGAGGCCAGGACCACAAATGCCTTCACCACCTGCAAAAAAGGTGAGGGCCAAGAGAGAAGGGATTAGAGTGTGTAGTCATCTCCTGGAATAATGTAAAATTGGCTTTAAGACTTCCATTCCCCCTTGTATCTCCTTATTTGCATTTCCAGTGATCCAGGTCAAGGGAAAGGGAGAAACTGGGGACAAGAATGAGGTTCCAGCTCTCTCTGAACTCATTTATCAGATGAGCAGGTGGACAATAGATTGAGACCAGGCTCACTTCATACTCCAAGGATAATAGAGACAGATGGGGAGAAAGAAGATAGAGGGAGAGAAAAGAGAAAAATAGACTAAATACCATAATCTTAATGTGTTTAACTTCTCCAAACTTCAATGTACCCATCCGTAAAATGGATAAAACTGCCATATTTAACTTATGGTAAATAAAATGAAATCATATACAGCAGGGCCAGCTCAGAGCTGGGCACACAGGGTTTTCTCAGTAGAGAATCCCCTTTTGGCCTTACTGCTCAGGGGTTCCCATAATTTTCTGTGTGATGTGTGCTATGCCTACTGGAGGTATGATAGTACCCGGCTTACACCCTGCAGAAAGGTACTAGGACACTGATACACACATTCCACCTTAATCTTTTCCTACACACACATCAAAGTCCATTAGACCCCATCTGAGCCTAATCCTATAACCCTGGCTTTATAGGGGTCTTTTTCCCCTTTTTTTTCCACTGTGAACCCTGTGGCACAGGAGCTCTATCTTTTGGCTCAAATCCCTCCTCTGTTCCTCTGGTAAAGAATCAAACTCTGAATCAAATACCAAACAGCAGGATAGAATCCTTCCAGCCTCGTCAAAATAGACATTTTAGGGTCTATTTTGTTGAGGGTACTAGGCCTTGTTCCAAGCACTTTACTTTCTAAAAACTTTTATTGACTCATAATATTTGTATATATGTATTGGGTACAAGTGACATTTTGTTACATGCAAATATTGTAATTATCAAGTTAGGATACTTGAGGCGTCCATCACATTGAGTATTTATGTGTGTATGTGTTTATATTTGTAATTTATGTTTGTATGTGTTGGGAACATTTCAAGTCCTCTCTTCTAGTTATTTTGAAATATACAATACATGGTTGTTAACTCTGTCACCCTACTCTTCTATTGAACATTCAAACTTATTGTTTCTATTTAACTGTATGTTTATACCCATTCACCTACCTCTCTTCATCCCCCTCTTTCCCACCCACCCTCCCTTTCCAGCCTCTTGTATCTATCCCTCTGCTCTTTATCTCCATGAGATCAACTTTTTTAGCTCTCACTTATGAGTGAGAACATGTGATGGTTATCTTTCTGTGCCTGGCTTATTTCACTTAACATAATGACATTAACGACCTCCACCTCTCTCCATGTTGCTGCAGATGACATGATTTCATTTTTTTTAATACCAGATAGTATTCCATTATATGGAATATATATATATATATATATATACCACATATGTGGTATATATATATACCACATATTATTTATCCATTCATCCATTGAATACTTAGGTTGATCCTATATCTTTGTATTGTGAATAGTGCTGCAATTAACTTGAGAGTGTAGACATCTTTTTGACATGCTGATTTATTTTCCTTTGGATAGATAACCCAGTAGTGGGATTGCTGGATTGTATGGTAGTTCTGTTTAGTTTTCTGAGAAATCACCATAATTAAGTAATTTACAAATATTAGCACATTTAACCATCATAATAATCTCTCATCTTACAGATGGGGAAACTGAGAAACAGAGAGGCCAAGTAGCTTGGCCAAGGTCACATAGCTAGTAAGTGGCAGGACCAAGATTGGGATTCAGAGTGTTCAGCCCCACAGCCCCTGTTCTTAAACCATCATACTACACTGCCCTTGTGTTCATATTTGTTCACCCCCAGACTACTGCTTCCCCATTACCTGTCCTCGGATGGGATCTGGGCTGCCGATCACAGCTGTCTCAACCACGGCAGGGTGCTCCATCAGCGCATTCTCTACCTCTGAAGGCCCAATCCGGTACCTACAGAAGAACCTGTCTTTTACAGAAGACTAGACATCCAACCTCTAGGCCATCTCAGAAATCTGGAACAAGCCAGAGTAAAGACCCAGATTTCCCTTCCCAACCCAGAAACCAAGCTCACCCGCTGGAGTTAATGATATCATCTGCCCGCCCCAAAAACTGGAAATATCCATCTTCATCTTTGATTCCCTGGTCTCCAAGGAGCCAAAAGTCCCCTCTAATGTTGGCTGCTGTCTTCTCAGGATTGTCCTGGTGACCACAGAAAGACAGAGTCATTGTGCCTGCAAAGCCTAAATCCCCTGCCCTGGGGCTGCCATGAACAGATGTCATAAATATTAAAACTGTATGTGTGCAGTGCATAACTTGAACATGGCAGACGTACCCTGAACCAGCCAACCCTAGACCACAGTTAGAACTGGATCTTTCCCGTTTATTGACATTATTTCACCCAGGGTCTCTCAGCTACTCCTCTAAGTCCAGTCTGATGGATATTATTGATGTATTTGTTCATCTATGCTTAGGGCATTTTCCCCAACTGATTCCATCTCCCCTTTCATAGATATCCTAATCTCTGCTCACTCTGTAGCACCACTCAAAGCTATCATTTTGATTAAGTACTTTTCTTGGCTTCCTTGTTAAATCTGAAAGTTCTGAAGACGTTAGCCAGGAAGCGTCCCGGGACCCTGGCTAATGTGCATATTTCTACAATGGCTGGGTCCCTCTATTCACCTAAGGCACTTGCTTATAAGTAATGAAAATGCTTGAGCTTTATCCCTTGTCAGTGTATCTTCCTCTCTGACTCAGGTATAGGGGCATGGGCTCCAGACTGGAAGTTCAGTTACTGGATTATGTGGTGTCATAAAGAATTCTTAGGCAGATCAAAACTCAGATTTACTCTGCTGCCTTACTAGCTGACTTTGAACTACTCCATCGTTGGGAATAGAGGGACACTGATGATTAGAGACACCAAGAGGCTTGTCTGAAGCTAAACAGCCATTACAGAAGGTAGAACTGAGACCAGAAGCCAGATTTCTTGGCCACTGGCTTGACTTTCTCATGGCCATCATGCAGCCTCTGAGGCCTTAGGAGTCTGCCAGACAGATACCTCTGAATCTACTTCCTTTTCTGTCCAATGGGGAGAAGCCCATGACTTAGTACCTCACTGGCATTTGGAAATAGAGTGGGACTGCACACAGGAAATGCTTGGAGAAGGGCACATTGTGGCCCTGCCCTGATCTCTGAGGCTCAGTTTTTCTCATCTGTATAATGTAGATATTCAGATCTACAACGATTCTTTTATTTAACATACTCATGACACACAACTTACAGATGAAGAAACTGAGACATGGGAGATCAGTAACTTGCCCAAGATCATGCAGTACATAGTAGAGCAGGGTTTTAAACTCGAGCAAGCTGAGTCCAGAACTTTATAGGGCAGCTGGGAGGAGTAAACGAGTTTAAAGCTTTAATGAGTTTAAAATTTAAAGAGTAAATATGTTTATAGGACAATGCTTGCCTTGTGGTATGCATTCAATAAATGGTAGAAAGTACTATTATTTGATTTACTATTTGTTTAGTTTATATCTCAGGGGTCAGAAGGCATGCCCTTGGTGTCTTCTCTGCCCACTTTCCAATTGTTGTGAGCTTGAGCAAGACTTGTAATCTCTGGCTCCATCATCCTCACCTGTCAAGTGAGGTGGCCAGACTCAAGGATTATCTGTCTTTACCTTCCCAAGATCTGAAGATAGGGATTCCTCTAACTAGATGGTGAAATTTCAGTGTAAAGTTCCTGGCATGGCTCTAAATAAGATCAATAGCATGGAGCATGGGGATAATACCTAAGGAAGAGGGCAAGGCTGCCCTTGGGGGAATGATGCTGTGTATAGTTCAGGGTCAGTAATATTTTCAGGATGCAACAAAGGGTTCTTAAGGAGTCTAAGGGCTAAATGAAGAAAAATAAGTCTTCCAATGAGATCACATTGATAGGCTGAGGATGGCAAGGCTGAATAGCCAGTCTTTTCTTCCACTAGCAAAGCATACATTCTTGAAAACTGGACACTCTTTGTCTCTCCACATCTAATGCCTCTTGGGAGTTTTAGAGCATTTGGCCTCCCTCATCCCATTTAGCACTCCCTATCCTCACTGGGGAACAGAGGAAGAGGAGCACAGGTTTCTCACCACATAGCCAGAGAGTATGCCTATAGGCTTGTTGGGTTTGACCCTGATGCCAATGTCTCCTTCTTTGCCAGGGGGCAGGACATTGCCCTTATCATCTATGACCTGGAGAAAGAAGCAAATTGGAAGAATTATCCACAGAGCAGGAGAGGGCTTCAATGGCAGCATGAGATTGCTGCGTTGGTCAGATGAAAGACCCTCTTGCTCTACTGTAGACGGAAAACAACAATCAGAAACCAAGGGAACCCAAGAGTCTTAAACTCAGATCTCTGCTCCATCTGCCTGGAATGGTTTAGGTGAAGCCTTTTATTGAGACTGGCTCAGATGCACCTGGGAAGATGCTTTTGGCTCTAGGGGCTCAGATAAAATAATAGCCTCCCCTTTAAGATCTACCTCACCTGTGGACTTAGAAATCAGGCAGATCAAAACTCAGATGTACTCTGCTACCTTACTAACTGACTTTGAACTACTTAAACTCTGTGCCTCAGTGCTTTTACTTGTAAAACAGGTACTGACAGCTTATTTCGCAGGATTTTTATAGGAATGAAATAAGATACTAAGAAAGGGGTTTAGCAACTGGTTATCGTAGTGAATGGTGTGGCAAATAATTGCATGTGATAGTGAGTAGAGTCTGAGTTACACCTTAGATATATAGAACGATACACATAACAGATACATAAACACAAATTCTAGTTCCCGAAAAACCATAAGAGAAAGCAGTAAAACTTTAGAAACAACATATTTATTATAGTGTTTTTTTTTTTACTAGTGAAAACTGGGACATCATCCCTTGGTCCAATAAAAGGCATAAAAAATGGTAGATACATACTATTTGCTACAATATCATCATTAAAAGTCATGCTGCAGATTGGTATTAGTTGAACTGAAAAGATCATTATCTAAATTGTCAAATGATAAAAGCAGGTTACAAAATGTTATGTCAAGATTCACCCCTATTTTTGTTTTTAAAGCATATATCCTTGCATACTGTCAGGCTAATTTGCTAGTGGGTCTCTCTGGATGGTAAGAATATAAATCATTTCCCCTTTTCCTTCTTTATTCTATCACACACTCTCCCTATCCTTCCTTCCTTTTCCCTCTTTTCTTATATTATCTTGATTACTTGCTATTATTTTTAACTCAATAAACAATGTAATAAATAAATTACTGAAAATCAGTGTTTCCCCTAACTTCCTCCCTCCTTAGTGTCCCAAGCAAACCTGCACATCATAATTGGGCATAGCTGTTCCCAAGTATCCTGGTTTGATTTTCATTGTCTTGGAAACTCTGCAAGTTAATCCCTGTGGAAAGAAGCAGACAGATCAGCAAACCTCAGGAGGAAGCACAAGGTCACAGAAAAAGAAAAAATTTCTGCAGAGCAGGTCCTGACATTGTCCCGAACTTGGCCTACACTTGGTGGCTCCCTCCCTCCACATTCCCTGGCTCTCTCCCTGTTACTGGAATCACAATCCTATGGGCTTCACTAAATTGTTTGTTCAGGAAGTAACCTAACTACCACTCCCCAGGAAGAGGACCTAACAATCACATTATATAATCTCTTTTAGGGGGAGCCACACTTTAACATGACAGTATGGATACCCATACCCACTATGGATATGACACTATGGGTAATTTTATTTTTAATTTTTGTGGGTACATAGGTGTATATATTTATGGGATATATGAGATGTTTTGATATAGCCATGCAATGTCAAATGATCACATCATGGAGAATGGGAAATCTATTTCCTCAAGCAGTAAAATATGCTTTTAAAAGTATCTCCTGTGGCAGTGCCAGTTCTGCTTGAGCCCTGAAATGAACCTCCCCAACAGAGATGTTGGTGTCCTTGCAAGCATATCCTAAACATGTCCTCCTCTGAATGGCTGGAGGCCCCTGCCAGGGTATGCTTGCCACAACTCCATTGTCCTCATTCATATTTGCAGAGCTCTTCCTGACTCTTTTGCAGCACAGAGCTGCCATCAACCCTCTGCTGGAGTTCTTCCAAGGGTACTTATTAGCCAAAGAAGGATGCAGGGTAAGAGAGTGTAGAGCAAGAGAAAAGAAGTGCTGAGAGTCACAAGTAAGAGGCACTGGAAAAAGGAGCGAAAAAGTTGGGGGAAAGTGTTCCCCATGTAGTTTTGGTAAGTAAAATAGCATAGAACAGTGTAAATCCATATTGTGTGTGTGAGACCTGAAGAGTTCCAAGAAGATATCTCAGGAGGTGCAGTAAAGCCTTGGTGGGCTCTTCTTCCCATTCTTCACTTCAATCTAAGCATCTTTGTACAGTGCTTGACAGGTTTGATAAACTTTGGTCTCTGATAAAATGTTTCTCCATCACAGAGGACTTTTCTGACTATAGTATTTGATTTACCAACTCCTCACCCCATCTCATCTGCTTTACTTTTTCCATAGCATTTCTCACCACCTGCCATGCTAGATATTTCTTAGGTTATTGTCTTTTTTCCCAGATCCCGGTGGAATGCAGTCTCCCAGAAAACAGGAGCTTTGCCTGTTTCATCCTGTGCTGAATTTTCGACACCCAGTGCCTGTCCCATCATAGATGCTCAATAAATATTTCTCAAATAAATGAATGATAAATGGTGGCTAACATTTTTTATTGTCAAAGAGACTTTTGAAACCCAAAAAGTGCACCCAGCCCAAGGTTCCCGTGGGAACAGGTACCGTTTCTGTCTGGCCATAGAATTCTCGGATGTCCAGTCCTGTCTGGGCCTTCCAGTTCCTCAGAATTTCTGGAAGAAGAGTGTCCCCTCCAGTTAAGCAGTTCTGTAGATGTGGGAACTTGTAACTGAAAAAGAGAAATAAGTGTTTCCCCTCAGCCTCCCTGGAACCACAGTCCACCCAGGCCTAGAGCTGGGTTCTGGGTGCTCTGATGATGCAAATGGCTTCATGGGGCTATCTGTGTGAGAGATTCAGACAGATAGGCATACATGTATGTGAGGGAATCAGATGGATGGGGTCAGACTCTTACCAACCCTCAAAGCCCCATCACCTGGAAAGATCCTGCTGAAGCAACATCTGGTAAACAACGGGGGCACTCAGCATGGTTTTGACTGGGTAGCCGGACAGTGTCTGGAAGAAGAGAGCCAGGTGAGACACTGGTCACCAGGTCAGATGCCAACTTATGGCTAGGCACAGTGGTTACAATCGTAAACTATGGAGTTGTAGAGGTATGGATTAAAACCCTAGCTTGTTTGCCGTGTCTGTTTCAGGTTAAATGAGCCCCACAATTTTCATGCACCCTGAAGACACAAATAACAGGGAAATGAATACATATTATGGTATTGAAAAAGTCTAGGAGTAATTTGAAACATTTTTGTCAAATCCTGGCTGGTTGTTCTTGCTGGTTTAAGACTTGCCCTCATTAACAACCCCTAGGAGTATATCAGCCCCCAGCAACCAAGGGATGCACAGCAGCTGTCTTGGTTAAGTCCCTTAACCTTCTGTAACCAGCTTTATAATAGGCAGATTGTTTCCAGCCTTATTTCCCTGAAAATATTTTTGGGATATATTTTAGATATAAAAGTTCTTTAAAAAGTTAAAGGCATCTATAGACATTTCAAAACAATTGCTACAAAAGGACCTAGTACTGAATACTTGCCATGTCCTGTGTTACCTCATTTAATTTTTACAATCACCTCATGGAGTGTGTACTGTCATCCTTACGATACAGTGGGGAAACCCATGATGTACAAGTTTAAGTAACTGCTCCAAGGTCACCTAGTCAGCAAGCAGTGGGATCCTTATTTGCAGCAGGTATTCCTAACCGTCATATAATACCATCTCCATCCCATGCTTTTCTTTATGCAGAATATTAGTATATAATAGACGATACTCTATTAAATATAATTTTCTCTTGCTATAACAGAAAACAGACTAAGACAATACTCTATTACATTCTGTGACAGTAACTTATCTGGGACTGAGTAATTTATAAAGAAAAGAAATTTATTTCTTGCAGTCCTGGTGGCTGGAAAGTCCAAGGTCAATGTCAAGAAGCTGCACCTGGTGAGAGCCTTCTTGCTGATGGGGACTCTGCAGAGTCCCAAGGAGGCTCAGGGCATCATATGGCAAAGGGGCTCACAAGGTAGAGCAAAACTGGCTTTTTTTTTTTTTTTTTTTGAGACAGAGTTTCACTCTTGTTACCCAGGCTGGAGTGCAACGGCGATCTTGGCTCACCGCAACCTCCGCCTCCTAGGTTCACGCAATTCTCCTGCCTCACCCTCCTGAGTAGCTGGGATTACAGGCATGCGCCACCATGCCCAGCTAATTTTTTGTAGTTTTAGTAGAGACGGGGTTTCACCATGTTGACCAGGATGGTCTCGATCTCTTGACCTCGTGATCCACCCACCTCGGCCTCCCAAAGTGCTGGGATTACAGGCGTGAGCCACCGTGCCCGGCCGCAAAACTGGCTTTTTATGTAACATCCCACTCTCCAAAACTACCCCACTACCATGATAACCCATTAATCCATTAATCTCTCATGAGGCCCAATCATCTCTTAAAGACCCCACCTCTTAATACTGTTACATTGGGGATTGAGTTTGTTAATGAAAAGAGTCAAACTCTGTAAAATACTTGAAGAGATTTCTTCTGAGACAAATAAGAGTGACCATGGCCTGTGACACAGCCCTTAGGAAATCCTGAGAACATGTGTGTACAGTGGTCACCTTGGTTTTATATATTTTACGGATATGTGAGACTTCAATCAAGCACATTTAAAAAATATATTGGTTTGGTCCAGAAAGGTGGGACAACTTGAAGTGGGGCTTCCAGCTTATAAGTAGCTTTAAAATTAGCTAGACAGTATGCAAGGATATATGCTTTAAAAACAAAAATGGGGTGAATCTTGACATAACATTTTGTAACCTGCTTTTATCATTTGACAATTTAGGTAACAGTCTTTTCAGTTCAATTAATACCAAACTGCAGCATGATTTTTAAGATGCTATTGTAGTAAATAGTATGTATCCACTGCTTTTTATGCTTACTGGATGCTGTTCACCACATGGCAAAGGTTTAGCAAAAATCAGATGAAGTGAAACAAACTACAGTAAATTGAAGTGGGCTCACTCTGAATAACTGATGCAAACTGGATCCTCTCTTACCTTTAGAATAACCAGTGGGTCAAACTTTGGCAAAAGATGAACAAATGTGCATGCTCCTGTTGCCCAAGATTCGAATGAGCCTAGGATCTTCACCGTCCAACCTGTGTCTGCTATGGTCCAGGCTACATCAGAGACTTGTAGGCCTGTCCAACTGAAAACACAGACAAAACACATGTACATATAGGTGGGTGACTGCTGACTTAAGATGTGTGGGACATTAAGGTGTAGGGGAGGCAAGGGAGGTGTGTGTGCAAAGGTGTGTATATATCTGCCTGCAGGTTTGTAAGCATATGTCTAAGTAGGAAGGGGGAAGGAAAGTTGTTCTATCCATACGTCCTGCATCAACAGGAGATGAGTGTTCAGAAGGTGTGACCCCAGCTGTTATGACTTAACATATAATTGGATCTCATTCTCATTTTAACCCCAAAACTTAGTACAGTTTCTGGCATGCATGTGGTAACCACCCAGAAAATTTTTACTAACAAAAGGCATCTGCATGACTAATATTCTAACAGATGCCTTACCAAGTTCAAGTTTGGCTGAATAGAACTTTGGTTCTTTTTCTTCAAGTACCGTGAATTGCCCACACAACTGAGGATCTTACACTAAGTGAACTTGTCACTTTTTTCTCTTCAGGGCAGAATAAAAGGTTCAGGTCTTTCTTAAAGCAAGAGTGATTTAGGCTAGACATGAACAACTTCCTTGTGAATGGGAACTGCCATAATAGATATTCTTTGCTGAAGATGGTTAATATTTTCAGCTCTGTAGGGAAATTAAATCATAGTATAAGACCTCCAAGTCTCACTTTATAGCTGTGAAAAGTGAGATTAAGACCAAATTTTTTGGGGGGAGGGGAATTTAATATCTTAGTTCTATATTAGTAATGTATCCCCCATCTTTTAGAAACTGTCTTTTACTGTAGCTTTTCTATTGAATAATTTTTACTAATTTATTTAATTTGCTGTCACTATGAGCTCCTAAATGGAACATTTACACTTTCTAATTTTTACATTAAAATATTTTCCCATTCTAATAATAAAATTAACATGGAAGGTGGGGTCTACTAAAAAATCCTGAAGATTTCTAGCTATCATTGCATGAAGACCTTGGCACAGTGTTTCCTGGTTCCACAAACAGGATTAATGTAGCAGTGAAAAAAAAATGCTCAACTATGAGGTCTGTGATCCAGAAATCCTGAGATCTTGGTTCACAAATTCATTCAATTATATCATTCATTTCAATGAATTTGCCAAGTAATTTGCTTTTGACAAAAAGTGCCCTTTGGAATGTGGTTAGTATCAAAGCAAATTGCCAGCATACCAAACAACAACACAGAGATCAGTCTTGAGAAATGCATGTAAGCCTTTTTCTAATTATTAGGGACATGGCTCAAAGCATGGAAGAAGTTTTGAGACCCTGTGTTATCTAAAAGATATGTCCCATTGAAGATGGCTGAATACCCAAAAGATGAAGCCATGTCTTTAGCTTTCCTTCCCAATTTTCTTTCTCAGAAGCACAAGATGGTAGCCCAGCCCAGGAGCATTGGATTTGAACTCAGAAAAGTCTTCATGCCTGGTCATGCAATTTTCTGTAGAGAGAAAGAGCTCAGCTTACCCAGCATCCAACTTGGCCTTGAGGCCCAGGCTCGAATGGGAATGTTCTACCATCTTGGGAAGACCACTGGTCCCACTAGTGAAGAAGATGGCAGATGTTTCCTGGCTTCCAGTCACCACACAGCGATGAGTGGTGGATGTCTCCCTGGCAGAGACACAGATTGTCATTTTGTCAGATCTAGCCTGGACACTGGATGTCACAGTGACCCATCTTTTCTCACCACTCATGCTGAAAGGGGCAAGTTGATCGACCCACCTCAGAAGAGAGGCTATTGAGTAGTTAAGATCATGGGAGTCTGAGTCAATCAGAGTTGGTCTGAAAACCACTAAAGTTTAGCACTTTGTTATCAGTGTAACCTTAAACTAGTTATTTAACTTTTCTAAGTCTCATTTTATATCTGCAAAAAGCAAGATCAAGTCTTATAGAGTTACTGAGAAAGTTAACTCCACCACCAAAGAAATCAGCAATTTGCTTAGCAAGAACTCAATAAATGCTAATCTAATTGTTGTGAAGAACCCTGGCATGACACCAAGTGCACAGGAAGTATGGAATTAATTTGAGTTTTCCCAGTACTTTATTGGCACCCTCTTCTATTCCCTGGAAGCACCTACACATCTCTTGGACATCTCCAGTGTCCTGATTTTAAGCCTTTAAGAGCAGGCATCTTGTTATTTATTTCTATGACAGCTACCTTAAAGACAATGGCATTAGAAAGGAAAAGCTGAAGTTATCCCTTCAAGTTTCCTATTATATGTGTCCCTAATAGAAGGATTTCAGATAAGTGAAGAGAAAATAATTAGTACAACCAGTCTTGTTGTCAACTTTGGAAGGACACATGGAGAGACTTCTGCCCTTAATCAGCCTCGCTTAGAGATACAGAGGTGGGAACAAGAGCCTAGAAACTTGGTATATCAGCCATCTCTTGGGCTTTCCCTCATGACCTTGGCCTCACCCTTGATTCAAGTCATAGTTGCAGTAGATAGTTCTGGGTGGGTTTCAACCCACTTGTTGTTAACACCATGTTGTTTCCAGTGCGTACCTCAAGCGATTCACTTTGTGCCTCATAGTTTCTCTGTTTTACCATAGCATGAAACTTTGTGTCACTCTTCGTGCATGAGTGTGCAGCCCAGAAGTGTGGAAGCAATAACACCCCTAGGACAACCCTCAGCCTGTGGGGGTCAGATGCTGATGGGTCAGTGCTTGTCAGTCCCTTAGTGGACAATCCTGGGAGGCATTCTGTGTGCTGCTCAGACGGCCCAGGCAGATCAAACCCCATTTAGTTCTTACAATTACTTGATTAAAAACCCTTGTATTAGCTTTTGTTTCTTCCCAGCTTCACTTTTCCTAGTCCCATGCTCTGCCTCCTGTGCCTCCTCAATAAAGCACCTGCACCTAAGTGCTTGGCTCTGTTTCCAGTTTTATTAAAAACCCAGGCTGAGACATGTAGATACTCACTTTAGTAGTTTCTTGAAGTTCAGCCACCCATCCCTGCTTTTCTCAGACACCAGTAGCTTAATTCTCAGAGAAGGACACTTAGATGCCACTGTGTCCACTTCTTGGACCACTTCATCTCCAGCCACAATAGCCTTGGCCTTAGACATCTGCAACCTATACAGTATGTCGGCGGATTTCATCTGGATGGTCCCAGGCATAAAGACGATGCCTAAAGAAGCCAACAGTTTAGAGAATTGGAAAGGATGGTTTTCTTTGTCCCTAGAGAAGCCTGTTATAAACATCCAGCAGGGAGCAAGTGGGGAAGGAGAAGATGGGAAAGTAATGACCAATGAATAGTATCAATAACAAAGGGGACTAAGGATTAGGGAGTGAATGAAACCTAGGACATTCCCTGGATTGTCAGAGTCTTAAGGGCCCTACTGAGACAAAGAAAAGAGACTGAGTTGCTAGTGTCACACTGTTGACAGTCTAAGACATATACATACAACTCTCCTCACCCACTCTCCTCAAAAAAAAAAAAAAAATTTTCTACAGGAGTTTGCTGTATTCAGAACTCTCATGTGATAATTAAAGAATCATGAAGAAAGGCATTTAGAATTGTCCATGGTCTTGAAACACCATCTAGGTCCTTGTTATTTCTCCAACCCTGGAACACTAAATGTATTTTTCTTAGATGAGTGTGCTTTTAGTTTTATATGTATGTGTACATACAAAAAGAGTTGTGTATATTTATTGGGTACAAAGTGGTGTTATAATTTTGAAGACAATGTGAGATGATTAAGCTAATTAATGTATCACCTCAAATATTTAACATTTTTTTGTGATGAGAATTAGAAATTTATGCTCTTAGTGAAAATTTCAGTACTCAATTATTAGCTATATTTAGCATGCTATGCAATTTATCTTAAAAAATTAGACTTATTCCTTGCACATAATCAAGGTTTTTATACCCCATGATGATCACCTTCCTATTTCTTGTTCTTGTTTACTATCTTAATGAAATTCCTTTGATTTTAAAAGTTTTCTGTAGAATAACTAGACTTAGGGCCTGGCACAGTGGCTTATTCCTGTAATCCTAGGACCTTGGAAGGCCAAGGAGGATGGATCATTTGAGGTCAAGAGTTTAAGACTAGCCCGGCCAATGTGGCGAAACCCCATCTCTACTAAAAATACAAAAATTATCTGGGCATGGTGGTACACACCTATAATCCCAGATACTCAGGAGGCTGAGGCAGAATTGCTTGAACCTGGGAGGTGAAGGTTACAGTGAGCCAAAATTGCACCACTGCACTGCAGCCTGGACTACAGAGGGAGACTCTGTCTCAAAAGAGAGAGAGAGAGAGAGAGAGAGAGAGAGAGAGAAAAGAAGGGAGGGAGGGAAGGAAGGAAGGAATGAAGGAAGGAAGGAAAAGAGGGAGGGAGGAAGGAAGGAAGGAAGAAAGGAAGGGAGAAAAGAATATCTACACTTTCATTTTTTATGAAGCTTAAACTACGTGCCCCACCTGTTAAATAACTTTTAACCTTAGCTCACCTCCTTCTAACTCTTAACACTTAGGGATTCTCACTGTACACCTGTAAATATCCTCAAATGTCCCTCTACCATGTTGGTCATATTGAGTCAGATACGGAACAATAAACACATTTCTTCCTCTGAGTTCTCTTTTCCTTCTGGATATAATCTCAGTATAACACCTTTCTGTCTGGCTTGTTCTCTCTTTCCATGAGCTTCCAAGTTCCTGCAATTGGTTTGGTTGCCTCTGGTAGTTTTGAATTCCTGGCTACATTTATATCTTCCTCCTTACCCACTCTCACGCTCAGCCCATTGTCCCCAGAATATCTAGTGGGTGGGACTTTTAGTTGGGATTAGGTTGTGTGCAAGCAGAGGTGGAAAGGGCCAGTTTTTGAAGGAGGTTGCTAGTTTCTTGAGGTTCTTTTTTATACAACTGTACTTCTCATCCTTTTAATGTAAAGGTTGATGATTCTCAAATTTCCATCTCCATCTCAGATTTTGGACCCTTAAATCCAACTTGTTGTCACTTCTTGAACATCACATGGACCTCTCGGACTCAACATGCCCAAATTGAATTTACCATCTCTTCCTAACACCCGTGCCTCTTCCTATGTCTGTGTTCTTCACACCATTAAAAGACAGCACCATCCACCCACTTGCTGAAGTCTCTGTGACTTCTCTCTCTCCGTGGTGTCTTCCCTGAAAAACCCTGTTACTAGTTCCCCCTAATTGTGTATTGAATCTACTTGTCTCCATTTCTACTACCAAAACCAAATTGAAACTGTCATCATCCCTTCATCTCTTATCTGAGAATTCCACCCCACTATTGCCTTCTTCATCCCATTCTCTATTGAGCATCCAATATGACTATCCAAACAGAGGATGATCATGTCACTCAATGCATCAATGGTTTGCGTGTCACTGAATCCATCAATCATTTCCCATTTACCACTGGATAAGTGTCTACAACTCTTACCATGGCCCACAAGGCACTGTCAATTTAGCACTTGGCAATCTTTACATGTTCATTCTATTGCCACTACTTTCTTTTTATGGCCTGGACTTTAGGCACACAGACATCCTTTTAGGTTCTTTCATAATTTTCAAGCTTCCCTCCCCTGTGGCTTTGAAACTGCCTTTACCAAAATTATGACACTGAGGAAAATCTGACATGGCCTACTTAATCTTGTTTCTAACCTCAAAAGCTATCTGTCTTTGCTCATTCCTGGGCATAGTCCAAGCTAACTATGGGAGGAATCCAGCTTATACACTAACTTTAAAACAAAAATGTTAATAGCTCCTTCCTGAAACTAACTGCCTCCATGCTCGGAGATTGAAACTGCCTTTGGAGAAATAACAAATTGGTCACAAGGCTAGAATTATAATTCAGGAGTCATGGAGTCAGAGGTCACAAGATTTGTAACCTCTCCAGTTTCTCCTGTAGATAACATCATTACGGTAAAACCTAAGACTAGTGTTTGAGGTGTTTTTCAGACCTTGCATTCTGATGGACCAGCTTGCACTACCCAAACCAGTAACTGATACCAAGAAACTAACTCAACCATTTCTGTGATCTCTGAGGAGTTGACTCAACACAAGAAGACAGCTCCAACATGATTTCATCCCCAGCCAACCAATCAGCATTTCCTATTCCCTATCCCCCTGAATGCCAAAGCATCTTTGAAAAACACTGGTCTCTGATTTCCTAGGGAGGTGGATTTGAAAAACATCTTTCATCATTCAATTTGGTGGTCTATGCAATTATTAGATTCTTCTCTACTGCAACTCCTACTGTTTTCAGTGTTTGGAGTTTCTGGGCAGTGGGCAAGAAGAAATCATCAGATGATTGCATCTTCACATGTGCTGTTCCCTTTGCTTGGCACAACAACAACGCTCTCTATCTCTTGGCCAAATCCTACTCATCCTGCAGATCTCAGCTCAAATATCACTTCCATTGAGACTTTGTTACTCCTCATATTGGTTAGTTCAAGTCCTCTTTTAGACAAGGCGTTGGCAAACGTTTTTTGCAAAAAGCCAAATAGTAAATATTTTAGGTTTCGTGGATTAGACACTCTCTTGTTCCAACTATTCAAGTTGCCACTATAGTGCAAAAATGGCCACATATAATATGGAAACAGGTGGGCATAGTTGTGTTCCAGTAAAACTTTACAAAAATAAGTTGTGGGCAGGATTTGGCCTGCAGGCCACAGTTTGCCAAACTTATTTTTATAGATTTTTATAGAATTCTCATGGCACTTATCATAATTGTGATTAAATACTTATTTGTGTAATTAAGAGTTTAAGAGCTTTCTCCAGAGGTCTGTAAGTCCCATGAATATATAGACTATGTTTTTGTTGTTGTTGCTGTTGTTGTTCACCCTGCATAAGTGCTTGGCACATAGTTTGCTTAAATGAATGGAAGAAGGGAGATGTCTTTCTTCATATGAGGGAGGACAGCATGCACCAAGGAGGGAACTTCTTTTGGGAGAGGTGGCTGCATTTCTCTGCTATCAGTTTTCTTCACAAAGAAGACAGTTCTCTGTCCAGGTAGTTAGTTACCAACCTGCTCGAATGCAGCCCAGTATCACCAGTGCCCACTCAGGTACTCGGGGCAGCACCACTGCCACACGGTCCCCACGCTGCAGGCCACAGGCTTCCGAGAGGACGTTGGCTGCCTGCTGGCTGATTTCACTCAATTCTCTGAAGTTCCACATCACTTCCTCCCCATTCCCATTTATCCACCAGAGGGCTGGGCCTGGGGGCCGCTTGCCAACCTGAGGGAAGACAAGCCCTGCAGATTAGGTGGCACTGGTACACAAGCAGGTAGAATAAATTCTAAGTCTTGGGATTGCCAAGTCGGTGCTTAGTAAGCTTTTTTAATCTCAGCACCTCCATACAGTCTTAAAAAATATTGAAAACTCTAAAGAGTTGTTATTTATATGAGTGATATCTATCAATAGTTACCATAGTAGATATTAAAACAGAATTTTTATAAATGTATGCTTTTAGAAATAACAATAATAAACCCATTATATATTAGCATGCATAATTTTTTGTAATGATAAAGAAAGTATACTTTTCAAAATAAAAAAATGAGGAAAGTGGCATTATTTTATTTATTTATTGCATCTATTTATTCTGCAATTCACTTTAATGTCTTAGTAGAATAACATCAGATCCTCTCATCTGCTTCTGCACTCACTCTGTTGTGAGTGCCAACACGTACCTTCTGGAAAATGCTATTGTATACTTGTGAAAGAATGAGAATAAAAAGGAAAATATCACCTTAGATTTATTTATATATTTATCTGTCTAACTATTTACTTATTTTTTTAATTGTGTGGTAAAATACACATAACATTTCCAATTTTAACTATTTTTAAGTGTATAGTTTAGTGACATTAAGCACATTCTCATTGTTATGCAACTATCACCACCATCATCTCTAGAACTTTCTCATCATCCAAAACAAAAACTCTGTCCCTATTACACAATCACCCCTCATCCTGTCTCCCCTTAGGCCCTGATAAACACCATTCTACTTTCTGTCTCTATAAATTTGACTATTCTAGATACATGATATCGTTTGAATATTTGTTCTTTGCAAGTCTCATGTTGAAATGCAATCCCTAGTGTCAAAGGTGGGGCTTGGTGGGAGGTGATTGGATCATGGGGGCAGGTCCCTGATGAATGGCTTGGCACCATCCCCTTCATGATAAATGAGTTTACATAAGATCTAGTTGTTTAGAAGTTAGTGGCACCTTCTCACTCTCTTTCTTGCTCCTAATCTTGCCATTTTTTGTGCCTGTTCTTTATCTTCCACCATGATTGTAAACTTCTTGAGGCCCTCAACAGAAACAGATGCCAGCCCCACACTTCCTGTACATTGTGCAGAACTGTGGGCCAATTAAACCTCTTTTTATAAATTACCTAGTCTCAGGTATTCCTTTACAGCAACACAAGAACAGTCTGGTAAAGAAAATTGGTACCAGGAGTGGTATATTGCTATAAAGATACCTGAAAATGTAGAGGTAACTCTGGAACTTGGTCATGAGAAAAAAATTGAAGACTTTGGAGGGCTTAAAAGAAGACAGAAAGATGAGGAAAAGTTGGAACGTCTTAGCTACCGGTTAAATAGTTGTGAACAAAATGCTAATAGAAATATGGACAGTGAAATCCAGGCTGACCAAATTTCAGATGGAAATAAGGAACTTATTGAGAACTGGAGCAAAGGTCCCCCTTCCTACACTTTAGCAATTAACTTGGCTGCATTGTTTTCATAGCCTAGGGATATGTGGAAGTTTCTACTTAAGAGTAATTACTTTGCTATTGTAAACAATGCTGCAATGAACATTCGTGTGCACGTGTCCTTATAGTAGAACGATTTGTAATCCTTTGGATATATACCCAGTAATGGGATTGCTGGGTCAAATGGAATTTCTATTTCTAGGTCCTTGAGGAATCGCCACACTGTCTTCCACAATGGTTGAACTAATTTACACTCCCACCAACAGTGTAAAAGTGTTCCTATTTCTCCACATCCTCTCCAGCATCTGTTGTTTCCAGATTTTTTAATGATCGCCATTCTAACTGGCATGAGATGGTATCTCAATGTAGTTTTGATTTGCATTTCTCTGATGACCAGTGATGATGAGCATTTTTTCATATGTTTGTTGGCCTGATGTTTGTCTTCTTTTGTAAAGTGTCTGTTCATATCCTTTGCCCACTTTTGAATGGGCTTGTTAGTTTTTTTCTTGTAGCAGAAGATCAAACACCGCATGTTTTCACTCATAGGCGGGTGTTGAACAATAAGAACACATGGACGCAGGGAGGGGAGCACTACACACTGGGGTCAGTTGGGGGGAAATAGGGGAGGGTCGGTGCGGGGTGGGGAGCTGGGGAGAGATAGCAAGGGGAGAAATGCCAGATGTAGGTGATGGGGAGGAAGGCAGCAAATCACACTGCCACTTGTGTACCTATGCAACAATTTTGCATGTTCTTCACATGTACCCCAAAACCTAAAATGCAATAAAATAAATAAATGGGAAATAAATAAATAAATAAATAAATTAAAAAAAAAGAGTAATGACTTAGGGAATCTGACAGAAGAAATTTTTAAGCAACAAAGTACCTAGCTTGCTTACTGCTTCAGAGTCATGTACCAGAAGTCACACAATTTGTAAATTCACCAATTGCTTCTATAGATTACATCACTATTGTAAAATCTAAGACTGGCCTTTGAGATATTTTTTAGACATTTGCATTCTGGCAAACTTACTGACACTACTTAGACCCATGACTCATAGCAAGGAACTCACTTTACCAGTCCTGTGACTGCCTCACCCAGAAACAGACTCAGCACTGGAAGACATTTCTCACACTTCTATGATTTCATTCCCAACGAATCAGTAGCACCTGTTCCTTAGCCCCCTGCCCACCAAATTGTCTTTTCAAAACCCTAGGCTCTGAGCTTTTGAGGGGGCAGATTTGAGAATTATCTCTCATCCTTCCACTATGATGCTTTGTGATAATTAGATTTATTTTCTGAAGGAAAAAAAAAAACAACCTTTTGTATTTAACTAACATGATAGGTACAAAAATGTTATTTTGGCAAAATCTTCACTTGCATTACTCTTATTATGAGGGAGGGTGAAATTTTTTTATGTTTAATGGCCATTTCAGTTCACTTTTTTGGTGACCTGTCTGTTCATATACTTTGCCCACTTTTATATTGAGTTGCACCCTTTTATTCTTGGTCTCTGCAAGCTCATTTTGTATTTTTAACTTTTTGCTGTCATATAAGTTGAATATTTTCCCCACAGTTGTCATTAGTCATTGATTTTGCTAATGGTGTTATTTGTGAATGGAGAGGTTTTTTGATGTTTATATAGCAAGCTTACTTTTATGAATTCAGAATGGTGAGTCATAGTAGGAAGGGGCTTCCTCAATATTTAAAAGGTCTTACTCAGTATTTAAAGGAAGCATAACTTTTTCTAAAAAATCCAGAAATCTACATTTTTATTTGAAAGTTTTCAATTTCAAAATGTTGACCTATTTTTTTTTTTTAAGAGTACCTGAACCTAGGGCGTCTTCAGCCCAGGGGCAAGGCATTTGCAATCTCCACACTAAGGCTGTTCCATAGTGTTGGGAACTCAGGACATCATGTCATAATCATTACTCTTTTTGAGTACCAATGTATCAAGCCTATGCTTGTAGCTCCACCCCTTCCCCTACTCCTAGCCAGAATGAATCCTTCAAATCTACGGAAAGAGTCACAGGACTTCAAATGAAGGCAATTGATGGATCAGCTATGATTGGATTAAAATTTTAGCAGCTCAGGGCTGGAAAGGAAACTCAGAATTTTCTTCATCTTTTTCTGTCTTGGCTGTCTCATATTGGAGCCCTTTTGATAATCATTGCCTAGTACTGTAGTTATCTTGCTTGCACACCTCTAATGAGAGGGGCATGTTACCTAAGTTCCTGGAAAGACTCAGTCTTTGATCATTGCTGATTTGCCTCCCCCCTCCAACTTTTTTGAGACAGAATATCACTCTGTGGAGTGTGGTGGTGTTATCATAGCTCACTGCAGCCTCAAACTCCTGGGCTCAAGCAGTCTTCCCACCTCAGCTTCCTGAGTAGCTAGGACTGCAGGTGTGGACCACCATACCTGGCTAATTTTTTTTTTTTTTAACATTTTTGGTAGAGACAGAGTCTTACTGTGTTGCCCAGGCTTGAATTGCTGTTATTAGATTCAAACCCACGTCTTCTATGACCCCAGACCACTAGTTCTCATTTCACCCTGGAAGGTCACAACAGAGCATATGCAGTCTCCATACAATGTAAACAAACTGTATTGGCTGCCTAGAAGTTACCAGGTTGCCACACTTCTGTGCCTTTCTTCCTTCCAAGCTCATGGTATCTCTCTCCCATATCATGCTGTCTTCATGGAAGATGAATGTCTTGTCCATAACTTATTACAGTGCATGACATGTGATAAGTGCTTAACAAATATTTACTAAATTAATGGATGAATTTTAAAAGTCAACCAAATCGTCTCACTCTGTGCCTCTTTTCCTCCCCATTTACCTTCTCCATCTCAGCCCAGTGATCTATCACATCTCTAGTGAAGTTAAACGTGGGTGGAGCTTCCAGGTGGCCCCACGGCACAGACACCAGTTGCCTGTTATTAATGTGGAGAGTGTGGCTGGACATCTGAGTACCCCACAGGGTGCAGAGTCCCTGAAGTTTTCGCAGCCAATACATGTTCGGACCTGTAAAAGGAAGAAGAGACACAGGTGAGAGCTTCTTTAACAGATTGCTCCACTGATCATCAGCAGCTTCAGGAGATTCATCCAAACCTTATAGAATTCTTCCCAGGAATTAATTTGCTGTGATTATGAGTAAATTGAACTCAGCATCTGTTTCAGTGTCCTTGTGGGGTGCTGTTTTCTATAGGCACAAGAGGATACAGAAAAAGTCCCAGATCCTACATCCTCAACACTTCTGACAGTTTTGTGAACACCCAATTCCGTATAATAAATCCCCTTGTGCTTAAAATACAGCGGGTCATATATTGGATTGTAGTTCCCAGAAATTCACTCCATTCCTGTTCTAGGATTATACATCCCCGTTCATTTTTATGTGACTTCCCAGGAGGAAGAATATGTATTTACTTCTCATTGATTTTGGCTTGCTCACGGGATATGCTTCAGTCAATGAGATGTGAGTGTCTGGTATTGTATGGTTCATCAGAAACTCACATTTCTCCCCTCTGCATGAGACTTGCACAACCCGTATCAGTGCTGTACCATCAGAATGGGACCCAGAACAACCAAAAATGTGGAGTTGAGCTGAGCCTAGCATGACCACTGACAACACACAGACCCATGGGAGAAAATATGTATGACTAAAAGCTACTGAGATGTATAGCGTGTTTGTTACTGTAGCAAATGCTAATTAATACAAGTAGCATCATTTTCTTTAAATTCAACCTGGACTGATAACATCCTAAATCCTAGGTCTTATGCATCTAGTGCACAGGGCCTAATACAATCACTTTAGAAATTATAGGTGTTGTAATTGTTGTTTCCATATAATTTATTCCAAGGAGGTCGTTCCAAGGCTGTGTAGGCTGGTGTTTAAGTTACACCCAAGGTACCATGAAGAGGTTGTAGAATTTAAGTCTAATGGCTTTTTTTTTTTTTTTTTTTTTTTTAAGAAAATTTATTTCCATAGGCTTTTGGAAAACAGGCGGTATTTGGTTACACGAGGAAGTTTTTTACTGGTAATTTAAAAGAGTTTTGTGCACCAATCACCCGAGCAGTATACACTTAACCCATTTTGTAAACTTTTATCCCTCATCTCCTTCCCATCTTTTCCCCCAAGTCCCCAAAGTTCTGTGTGTCATTCTACTTTTCTTTTTCTTTTTTTTAATTCTTCCTAACATATTCTATCATACACCTTTGTATCAGTCTTATGCCTTTGCAATTTATAGCTTAGCTCCCACTTATGAGTGAGAACATATGATGTTTGGTTTTCCATTCCTGAGTTACTTTACTTTGAATAATAGTCTCCCATCCCATCCAGGCTGCTGTGAATGCCATTAATTCATTCCTTTCTATACCTGAGTAGTATTTATATATATGTATGTGTGTGTTCTACTTTCAGTTCTTTGAGGAATCTCCACACTGCTTTCCATAGTGGTTATACCAGTTTACATTCTTACCAGCAATATAGAAGTGTTCCCTTTTCATCACATCCATAGCAACATCTGTTATTTTTTGATTTTTTGATTATGGCCATTCTTGCAAGAGTACGATGGTATCACATTGTGGTTTTGATTTGCATTTCCCTGATTGTTAGTGATGTTGAGCATTTTTTCATATTCGTGTTGGATATTCTTTTGAGAATTGTCTATTTATGTCCTTAGCCCACTTTTTTATGGGATTTTTTGTTGTTTTTTCTTCTTGCTAATTTATTTGAGTTTCTTGTAGATTCTGAATATTAGTCCTTTGTCAGATGCACAGATTGTGAAGATTTTCTCCCACTCTGTGAGTTGTCTATTTACTCTGCTGACTGTTCCTTTTGCTCTGAAAAAGCTCTTTAGTTTAATTAAGTCTCACCTATTTATCTTTGTTTTTGTTGCATTTGCTTTTGGGTTCTTGGTCATAAAATCTTTGCATAACCCAATGTCTAGAAGAGTTTGTCTGATGTTATCTTCCAGAATTTTTATAGTTTCAGGTCTTAGATTTAAGTCTTTGATCCATCATGACTTGGTTTTTGTATAAGGTAAGAGATGAAGATCCAGTTTCATTCTCCTACATGTGACTTGCCAATTATCTCAGCACCATTCGTTGAATAGGGTGTCCTTTCCTCACTTTATGTTTCTGTTTGTTTTGTCGAAGATCAGTTGACTATAAGTATTTAGATTTATTCCTGGGTTCTCTATTCTGTTCCATGGTTCTATGTGTCTATTTTTATACCAGTACCATGCTCTTTTGGTGACTATGGCCTTATAGTATATTTTTGAAATCAGGTAATGTGATGTCTCCAGATTTGTTCTTTTTGTCTTACTTTGGCTATGAGGACTCTTTTTGTTCCATATGAATTTTAGGATTATTTTTTCTAGTTCTGTGAAGAATAATGGTGGTATTTTGATGGAAATTGCATTGAATTTATAGATTGCTTTGGGCGACATGGTCATATTTACAATATTTATTCTATTCATCCATGAGCATAGGATGTGTTTCCATTTGTTTGTGCCATCTGTGATTTCTTTCAGCAGTGTTTTGTAGTTTTTCTTGCAGAGATCTTTTACCTCTTTAGGAATATTTTTTTGCAGCTATTGTAAAAGGGGTTGAGTTCTTGATTTGATTCTCAGCTTGGTTGCTGTTGGCATATAGCAGAGCTACTTTTTTTTGTACATTAATTTTGTATCCTGAAACTTTGCTGGATTAATGTATCAGTTCTAAGAGCTCTTTGGAGGAATCTTTAAGGTCTTCTAGGTATACAGTTATATTATCAGCAAACAGCAACAGTTTGACTTCCTCTTTCCCAATTTGGATGCCCTTTATTTCTTTCTCTTGTCTGATTGCTCTGGTTAGGACTTCCAGTACTATACCGGATAAAAGTGGTGTGAGTGGGCATTCATGTCTTGTTCTAGTTCTCAGAGGGAATGCTTTCAACTTTTTCCCATTCAGTATTATGTTGCCTGTGGGTTTGTCATAGATGGTTTTTATTACCTTAAGATATGTCCTTTGTATGCTGATTTTGCTAAGGGTTTTAATCATAAAGGGATGCTGGATTTTGTCAAATGCTTTTTCTACATCTATTGAGATGATCATATGATTTTTGTTTTTAATTCTGTTTATGTGGTGTATCACATTTATTGGCTTGCATATGTTAAACCCTCCCTGTATCCCTGGTATGAAACCCACTTGATCATGGTGGATTATCTTGTTGATATGCTGTTGGATTTGGTTAGCTAGTATTTTGTTAAGAATTTTTGCATCTATGTTCATCAGGATATTGGTCTATAGTTTTCGTTTTTGTCACATCCTTTTCTGGTTTTGATATTAGGGTAATATTGGCTTCATAGAATGATTTAGGGATGATTCTCTTTCTGTCTTATGGAATAATGTCAGTAGGATTGGTACCAGTCCTTCTTTGAATGCCTGGTAGAATTCAGCTGTGACTCCCTCTGGTCCTGGATTTTGTTGTTGATAATTTTTTTATTGACATTTCAATCTCGCTGCTTGTTATTGGTCTGTTCAGTGTTTCTAATTCTTCCAAATTTAAGCTAGGAGAGTTGTATCTTTCCAAGAATTTATCCATCTCCTCTAGGTTTTTTAATTTATCTACAGGAAGCTGTTTGTAGTAGCCTTGGATGATCTTTTGTATTTCTGTAGTGTCAGTTGTAATATCTCCCATTTCCTTTCTAATTGAGCTTATATGCATCTTCTGTCTTCTTTTTTGGTAATTTTCCTAATGATCTATCCATTTTTTAAAAATCTTTCCCAAGAACCAGCATTTCGTTTCATTTATCTTTTGTATTTTTGTGTCAGTTTCATTTCATTCTGCTGTGATCTTGGTTATTTCCTTTATTCTGCTGGGTTTGGGTTCTAGTTCCTTGAGGTGTGACCTTAGGTTGTCTATTTGTGCTCTTTCGGACTTTTTGATGAAGGCATTTAAGGCTATGAATTTTCCTCTTAGTACCTCCTTTGCTCTTTCCCAGAAGTTTTGATAGATTGTGTCACTATTATCCTTCAGTTTAATAATATTTTTTGAGATGGAAATTTTGTTCTTGTTGCCCAGGCTGGAGTGCAATGGCACAATCTCGGCTCACTGCAACCTCTGCTCCTGGGGTTCAAGTGATTCTCCTGCCTCAGCCTCCTGAGTAGCTGGGATTACAGGCGCTTGCCGCCACACCCAACTAATGTTTTGTATTTTCAGTAGGGGTTTCACCATGTTGGCCAGGCTGGTCTTGAACTCCTGACCTCAGATCATCCGCCCACCTCGGCCTCCCAGTGGGCTGGGATTACAGGTGTGAGCCACTGTGCCTGGCCCAAGAAAATTTTTAATTGCCGTCTTGATTTCATTGTTGACTCAATGATGATTCAGGAACAGGTTATTTAATTTCCATGTATTCACATGATTTCGAAGGTTCCTTTTGGAGTTGATTTCCAATTTTGTTTCACTATGGTCTGACAGAGTACTTGATATAATTCCGGTTTTCTCAAATTTGTTGAGACTTGTTTTGTGTTTTATCATATAGTCTATCTTGGAGAAAGTTCCATGCACTGATGAATAGAATGTATATTCCATAGCTGTTGGGTAGAATGTTCTGTAAATATCTGTTAAGTTTATTTGTTCCAGGGTACAGCTTAAATCAATTGTTTCTTTGTTGACTTTATGTTTTAATGACCTGTCTAGCGCTGTCAGTGGAGTATTGAAGTCCCCCACTATTATTGTGTTGCTGTTTATATTACTTCTTAGGTATAGTAGTAATTGTTTTATAAATTTGAGATCTCCAGTGTTAGGTGCATATATATTTAGGATTGTGATATTTTCCTGTTGGACAAGGCCTTTTATCATTACATAATTTCCTCTTTGTCTTTTTTTAACTGCTGTTGCTTTAAAGTTTGTTTTGTTTGATATAAATATAGATACTCCTACTTGCTTTCAGTGTCCATTTCCACCCCTTTATTATGCATTAGATGAGTCTCTTGAAGGCAGGAGTACTTGGTTGGCACAATCTTATCAATTCTGTAAT